ATGTATATATATATATATATAGGAGCCTTAATAATTTATGGCGGGGTTTTGGGGCATATTATACTGTCATGATAGTAAGGAACCCCCAGAATAGTAGCAACATAGTATTGGTAACGATTCAGGCCCCGATATTAGGTACTGTCATGGGGGATGCTTTCCCAAATCATATTAGTATTACTGATTCCTAATGAAGAAACCCTACATCCCACTATGTAGGTACTCAGGGCCCTTAGGGTTGGGCATGCCAAAGCCACAAGTAGAGAAGAGCCTTCTTTATCCCACTTCCTAGAGCTGATTTCTAGTGTTGTTATCATTCTTGTTGTTATGATTATTGATGTATTGCTATGACTATCAGTAACTATCAGTAGTTTCGTATTAAAGTACTAGTAGTATTGGGTAGACAGCCAGTAGAATCTGCGGAGACTGCAAGAATGAACCTCGACACCCACTCTCTCTTTGACAGGCGATTGGTTTCGATCCAGTCGCGGTGACGGGCTGGAAGAGACTGCGGCTGAGGGCCCCGAGCTCGGCACGAGTTTGACTTGCTGAGTCCCAGTGTACCCAACAGTTCTGTGAAGTGCCTGCAAAACCTCGTGCTTTCGGCTCCACAGCAAACCCTCATACCGGGTACCCGGCCGCGCCAACTGCAAACGCCTTTTCTGCCTCCAAGAGGCCTCGCCACGCTTGCGCCTTGATATTCCGTTCAGATTAATCCGTCCCTGCTCAGGCCGATGGCCAGCGCCGATGTCGCGACATGCCCTCCGCCACCTCCCCCTGAGACAGTGGAAGCCGGCCCTGTGGCCCCGCCACCGCCCCCCGTGGCTCGGCCAAAGCCAAACAGCTGGGGATTTGTGATAGAATCCGCCTGGAGTGGCGTGCATCTCGAACTGTTTTGCGTGCATTGTCCTCATGATTCGGATGGCTTAAGTACATTCCCCTGTCCCGATGATGACATTGACACGCGAGGACAATCCTGCAAAAGTGGCGTTGTGAGAGGTACAGTAGGAACTGAAAGAGTCTTGTCGCTGCCTTCATGTGTACTTATTGATTCGCTTCCGTAGCGAGGCATCAGTGGATGTTGCTGCGGTGCGGTGGCATGGCTGGGCAGGCCTCCTGAGAAGAGCAGATGTCGGTCTCTTTGTGTCTAAACGGGCGAATGCAATGTAAGCGGGAGTTCAAGCGAAATGCGCGCCAAGCCACTGTCCAGCAACGGGTGGCAGGGTGGTTCGTGCGTGTACAGTGCTTGTTGATGCTTGCTGCAGTTGCATGCAGATGGCATGCCGAAACTTGAAGCTGGCGAAGGAAAGGGAGCAGGCCAACAACTGTTTGTATCGGGAGTCCCTTTACAGTAAGCTGCCACCACGAAGATGTCGCAGAAGGCACACAACAGCCATAAACAGTTGTCCATTGAAAGCATATGTTGAGACAGCATCACATGAACAGAAGGATTCGGTATGTTTTGCAGTACGGTTGCACCTGGAGGGGGTTCCATGTGAACAATGAGATCCTTATGCTTCTTGCCGGCCTATATGGCATGCCGTAGTCGAAACTCTAAACCCCAGTTGCGGAAGGCTTCACTCTGTTTCGCACAGACTGCGCGCCCGACAGACTTCGCCTGGCTTGTCCCAGCTGTGAAACTAAAAGCCCCAGTAGCCCTAAACCATGCCGGCCTTGTGCAAGTGTGAGAGTCGAAACCATCCTAAACCCTGGAACTCTAAACCCTGGCCGCATATCCTGCGAGGCGCCAGCAGCGCCTGGGCAGCTCCACGCGTGGCGGCTCACAGCGACAGCGAGGTGAAGTTGCCGCGGTTCAGAATTAACAGGGTTTAGGATTTGGGTAGTTCTCCAAATTAGGGTCCCTTTGTAGGTCCCCAATATAGTACGGCACCCTTATAACAAGGATCCGAAAAGGGACCCTAACTTAGAGAACTACCCATTAACATGGCATACAGCAGGGTTTAGGGTTCAGGACGAATGAGCCGGGCTGTCGAAACCTAAAGGCCTAAACCCACAGTCCGTGGGGAAAAAGGGAATGCATGAAAAAACGACAGTCCGTATGTACTATGCACATATGCATGCACACATGCATATGTGTGTAAATATGTGTATCTGTATGTGTCCATGGGTATATATGTATATACATATTTCTGTGCGTGTACACAGATATGTGTATGTATGTATGTATGTATGTATGTATGTATGTATGTATGTATGTATGTATGTAAACATATTTATTTATTTGCATTTGTTGATTTATTTGTTTACATATATATATATATACATACGTATATACATACACAGATAGTATAGATAGAAACGTGAATGATGTGTATTTACGCATTCATTTATAGATGGAATCCTGAAGCAAGGCCCGACCCGGCTATGAAGCGTACGATGCCTCGGAGTATTTGGACGAGCCGGCCGTGCTTCAGGACTTTCTCTGGCGCATGTTTGGGGCGCTAGAGTCACAGAGCCCTAAACCCTAAACCCTAAACCCCAAAACCCTAAACCCTAAACCAGAACCCAGGTCTGGATGATTCGAAGTGGCATTCCTCATCTGTTCCCATATGAAAGACATAAGACCCTACCATATACTATGGTAGGAAGTTCTACTAGAGGCATAGGACGTTCAAAGCGAGATAGGCGAACCGCAGGTTTTCGGTCCCTTGAGCTAGCTTGAGTTGGACCGACAGCTTCTGACTCCAAAGGACAGACATTTCAGAAGGTGGCAGCACCCGCAGAACACGTGTATTTGCCAGTCTTGGAACTGAATACTTGCCGAAACGGGGTTATAGATGGGTTTTGTATCGTGTCAGTGGTTGCGATTGCTAGTAAGGGCGTAATTAGACCCAGGCATGACAAAGTCTGCAAGGAGATGGGCCTTGCCCATTTTGGGGAACGAGGCATGTCCATGTGCAGTTAGACATACGAAGCCTAAAGGCATAGCCTGAGGGGAGGGGGCGTGGAAGTGTCATCTAAGATTAGGGGGAGGCAATGCGTCTGTTGCTTGTACTTCACCAGGAGAAAGTGCGAATGCTCGCAGAAATGTGGAGGCGGAGTGGTCCCGACACCGTGATCTACACGGGTGCAGGGCTTTCAACAGCTTCAGGCATGGGCGTGGTTGAAATCTGTCCCAGAATTCGCAGTAGAGTCGACACCTGCCGCCGCATCAGGCATCGGGGACTATGCCTCCAAAGCCAGTAGCTCTGTCGCGCCCCACAAGAAGATCGGCTCCACTGGCAGCCGCTTGGAGCTGTCCCCGACTTTCGCCCACCATGCGCTGGCAGCTGTGGCAGAAAAAGGGCTCATCGGAAACTGGGTCCAGCAGAACCACGATCGCTTGGCTCAGAAGGCAGGTTTCCCTCAGGCTAAGCTGAATGAGATCCATGGCGCATGGGGCGACAGCAAGAACCAGGTAAAGATGATGGACGATACTCTCCGCCATGACTTGCTCCAATGGCTGCTCTCCTGGTCCCTTCGTGCCCGGCTGTGCGTAAGCCTGGGGACCTCCCTTTGCGGGATGACCTCAGACGAGATCCCAAATGCCGTTGCAGAGCGCTACACGCAGGGCGAAGGTGAAGGGCTCGTCGCCGGCCTCTCCAATCAACGGTTTCTTTCTTCTCTACCGTAACACCTTTTCATGTTTAAGTCCATGCGTATGCTGCGGCCATGACTGCATAGGCTGTCTCGAGCCACACATAGTGGGCAGTAGTCCCACACACCGGCATTTTGCGAAGTCGATGGGTTCTTACTTGAAGACGTCTACGTCGTGCCACCTGCGCTTCCGACGCACATGTCCTCTGGCAAGGGGACGAGTTGAAAGTCCTGCCCAGGCTCCATGTGGCGTGAGTTTAGGCTTTAGGCGGTTTAGGATTGCGGTTATATACTACACCCTGCTGTCGCGCCCCAGCTGGCGCATAGACCAGGAAAGCAGGAACAGGCAAGATCCCGTTCAATTCAGGCCCTGTACTCGACCCCAGCAAGCCTTAGGCTTAGATTTAGGGTTGAGAGTAAGTATTTTTCGGGGGGGCTTAAATAATTACCTATTACTATTTGTTTTGGGGGGGGGTTCCGTATTATAGTTATATAGTATAATATAGCCCAAAACCCTATTAAGGCCCCTACATCATGGCCCCTGGCCCTAGGTATAATATAGCCCAAAGCCCTATTAAGGCCCCGATATCATGGGCCCCGGCCCTAGGTATAATATAGCCCAAAACCCGATTGAAGGCCCCTATATCATGGCCCCTGGCCCTAGCATCTTCGAGGTCATTATCGGCCTGCAGCGGACCTTCTACGACGAGCGGGCGAGCCTCAGGATTTGGGGGCTTTGCGACGAGGTGATGAGCCTTTTGGCGAAGGAGCCGCTGAATTTCTGGAGATATCGGGGCCTTTAATAAGGATTCGACTAGGGCGTTGTGGTCATGTGATCGCATACCTGCAATACTTAGCGCAACCTCCGCTTCACATTGTTGGACATCGTAGACACAGTTCTAGCTGCCAAGTGTTTAGCTGAGCGAAACCTGACAATGAAAAGACTCGGCAGGAGCTCCGATGCAAAGTGCCAGATCCGAAAGTGGCCCGCCGGGGCGAGGAGTGGGTGAGCAAGCATCCAAGGCTCACTTACAACACCCCGACGAGGTCAGCAAAGGATCCCATGTAGGGCCGTCAGATTTCCGTAAACTTATGCAAGGAAGGTATACTACCAGCAGCACCGACAAGAGCTCATTTGTGAGAATTCACAAGCTTTCACGAGTGAAGTCGGTGTCGTCACTTCACTCTTCTTCAACAGCTCTATATGCTTCGAACCTTGTTCGACAGTGTTTGACACGTGCCATAAAAGCATTCTGTTGAAGAACAGTTGATTTGCGGTTGTAGGCCTTCACGCTCTCGCCGCTAGCCTGTGTGTACAGAATTCCGCAGAGAATGCGCGAGAGTGCGTAGTGAGTACACAATGGAGCGCCTGCTCATGTGCAGAATGTGTGCGAATTACTTTGTGAGCTGTTAGTTTTAGTTGTTTAGCCATGACGAACCCATGGCCCAGCCTGTATGAATTTATATATGACGTTAGGGCGAGTCTTCTTGCGGGAGAGTTTGGGCAGAGATGCGCCTAATCGCCAGCAATGACTGACGTTTAGCCAATGTGTGTTTTCGTTTGTTTATTCCGGTTAGCTCATGTTTAATTAGATTGCTTCGAGATTGTGTTTGCAGCAGAGCTTGCATCTCACTAGGTGACTGCGGGCCGCGAGACCTCATTTGGCTAGCCCGAGTTGTGAGAGCGTAAACCCATCAGAAGCCAGAAGGCCTCTGAACTGCCCTCCTGAGGATGGGCAGGCTGGCAAGCAATTCGCCATACTCCGGGACGAGCGAACTTTGAGGCATGCTGTTCGTTATCAGGGTTTTCTGATGGGTTCCCGATGCATATAATCCAGTAAGCCTAGTTCAGGATTGCTGGACGCCCTTGGCAAGCTGTGTACACAGTTGCAGGTGGGGGTTGCAAGTGGCCGGTTGGGATTCGGCCGCGTGGCAAAGGGCTTCTTCGGTCAGTGGGGTTCCTGAACTCATGCACATGAGCCGTCGCATGACAAAGGAGGATTACGAGTAAGTAAAACGAATGCTAGAAACTTCGACGAGCGTCTTTGGGATGGCTGTCTGGAAACTTCTCTGAACTGCGAGCATCAGACGTTTTGACACATATCTTAGGGTTGCCTTCGTGAGCAGGTGAGAACTCTAGATTGGGGTTTCTACTAGGAAGCTACATCGAAAGGTAGGTAAGTGATGGTAGCTTAAGTTTAAGATGCTTTTTGCAGAACTTAGACCCTAGACCCTAAACCCTAAACTCCTAAACCTTAAACCCCCAAACCCCAAAACCCTGAACCCGAGAGGGAATAAAACCCTAAACCCTGAACCTATATTTGTAGGGAATCCAAGCAGCTGCTTCAGGAGTTCCCTGCTGGGCTTCGGCGATGGTCGCCAGGCCTTTCAGCCCAGGAAGCCGGAAGCTCCGAGTGGAGGGACCCCCCCCCCATGTCTTAGAATATACTATAATATACTATACTATAGTATAGTATACTATATTATACTATAGTACACTATAGTATACGATAATATATACTATGATATACTATAGTCTACTATAAAAAGATCTACTGCGATATCCCTACGATGACAGGTAGCCGTTCAAGTCATGGCGGAGGACGCCGGACATAGTCGTGGGCGTAACCCTGGCACGGGCTTCCTGGTTCAGGATGTTTAATAAAGGGGCCTTCATCATTAGAATTGTTTGTTTTGGGGGATATCATACTAGAATCATAAAGAGCAACCCTCCAACTAGTATCGGTACTTATTAAGGCCGAATTAAGGGGCCCTAGATTAGCTGGGAAGCACAGCAGATCAAGCCTACAGTCGCCAAGCCATGCCTGCACTCTCTCTCTCTCTCTCTCTCTCTCTCTCTCTCTCTCTCTAGTCTCTCTAGGTCTGAACAGGTACGTTTACAGTTCCCCCTGCAAAATGCAGCAACCTTCGTCCCAAAAGCAATGGTTGACCACGCCTGACGACATCACAGCCTTTTGACCGGCTTCTCGATCAGATTCCGAAACGACCACAAGTACCCCTGCAAGCACAAAGAAGATGCGGGAGAGGACGAAGATCTGGGCCCGGATGACCTCGTGATCTTGGTGAGGCACGGCTTATCTCGGAGCTAAAATCACTCCTAAGTTCACTGCATGGGTGACTGATGATGTTAGCAAGCTCACCTGGAAAGCGAGAAAGGTTGCTTTGCGAGGGCCCCTTGCAGCCTTGGCCCAGGCCCTGGCGGGTGCGGGAAGCACGCCTGCATGCCGCTTGGCTCGCAGCTCCTGCCAAATCTCGACCTTCTGCTCTGATGAAGACGACCCTTACAGGTCCAGATGTTCAACAGTCGACTCTCGCCTTTGCAGACTTGTTCAAGTTCGGGAATTGCCGTTTGCTTCGGGAGGCCTCCACGGAGATTGTGGCCACGCGGAACCAGACGCTCGCCAAGTTCCAGGCTCAAGAAGCCTAGCCACCTTTGGTGCTAAGTGATTGTGTCCGGCAAAGATCGTAGCAGATTATCCCACTGTGTAGCTACCATAATGACGCTTGTGTGGACGATTCATGGCACACATGCCGCGTCTTGAAGATAAACCAGCGCAATGTAGTCCGCCAGGACATGTTGGCTGAGCGCTTCAAAGGCTTGCTGCAGGCGGAGGCACGGAACAAGCTTTGGGGTCTTGTGGCCTATGATCTGATCATGGACATTGGTCTTGCCGATATCGCTGAAACAGGTTGACTATTATTCATGGTGGCATGTTGGACAAAAAATCTTAAGTTCTGCTATGTTTTGTCAGCTGCGTTAATCGTGGCAGCCCCCTTCTTTGCGAAGATGATTCCCGGCTTGTTCCTCAGGTTTTCCCACACATTCGTCTTAAGAGTCTACCTTGAAGCTCGGATCCCTCGGCGAACCCGGTACTCTCATGTTCATGCTTGCTTCCTGGATGTCATCGTGCTCTCGTTGCAGCCGCAGCTTGTTTTCAGTTTTCAACAACCTGATATCATGGATCGACTCCGCCGACAGGAATCTTTCGATGAGGTGTGCGCAGAAGGGCTGTTCCGTGCCACCACCGTGCCGCGGATTCTCGCCCAACGGGGAGCCATTTTCATGCAAGGTTTGCCAGGTCTTCTCGGTGCAGGTGGATTGCGCTCTGCCAAAATTCCGACTAAGCAGGAGGTGCTTCAAGCCGGATCGTGCATCTTCGAGTCGTCTGCCTGCGTCGAGCATGTGGACGTTTTTGTGAGCCATCGCTGGGGTTCCGCCCGCTGGGGGAAGGTCTTGGCATTGTGCCTGTACTCGAATCTGACAGCAGCTGTCGTGTGCTCCCTGACCACCTGGGTTCTGGCTACCGCAGGCATGATCGCCTACGCACATGGCGCGGCAAACCTCGGAGGAAATTTCCTCTTGCTGCCCATCTTGGTCTTTTGCCCGATCGCGGTGTTTCTGGTTGTCTTCTTCTTGGGCCAACATGCCATAGATTGCTTGCAGCCTATGTCGATCTGGATGGACAAAGCATGTATTCACCAGACAGACCACGACTTCAAGCAGCGTCAGATCCAAGCTCTCCCTGTCTTCGTTGCACGGTCCTCCTCCATGGTGGTGCTTTGGGATGATGAGTACTTCCGCGGCAGTGCAGACCGCCCCCTGGACAAGTCCTTGGCTGCCGCGGAGGCCCGTTCTGCGCTCCACGGGCCCGCGAAGTGTCTGCAGGGTGAGGCGCCTAGAGCGCCACAGACAGGCGGCAAATTTTGGCTATGGAGCTG